TAACGTATGATTCATGTAATGCGAAAGTTACGGTCACTTTAGAATTTAACCCACAGCACCCAGCATGCATTGACTACAGTGCATTCTAAGAAAAAATAGTCATTGCTCTCATTATTAAACCAATACGTCTTGGTTTATGGAGAATTTCAGTAATTGTACTAACAACTTTTAGAATAAGCGTTTGCTCAAATGAATACCAGTTTGCCTATCCTACTAAAATGAAGTCCTGGTTTTTTAAAACCACGAGACACGTCCTTTTCACTCTTCTTGCGTTATTTCAAAAACATAAAAGTTGGATGAGCAGGATCTCGTCGAGCAAAACAAGGTGGTGTTCCCCAACGTGTCGAAGGGTTTCGGGTGCCGCGCTTTCGTTGGAAATTTTACGAAAGTTTAAATTTCGCTCTGATTTCTCTGAGAATGTTGATTTCATGTTTACTAAACGTTAAAAGAATAATTTTAGAAGCCGTTGTTGTTGTTTTTGTTTTTGTTGTTGTTGTTATCGTCGTCGTTGTCGTTCTTGTTGGTGTTGTTGGTCGGTGGCTGACGTTTCCGTGACCTCGCCTGCCTCAGAGCCGTCTGTTAATAGTGAAATTTTAGAAATCATTCGAGCGCTTGGTGAAATAAAGTTGGATCTGTTCTATAAGACGGTGAAGTTTTAACTTCTCAAATATTCTAAATAACGAGAAGTTATCGGAAGTTGTTGAAGGATAAGCACTGTCGTGAATGAAGCCAGAAACATTGAGTTCTTACGAACGTGGCCTGTTCAGTTACGCAGTTGTTTATTTCAGCCAGATTCTACAGATTTTATTCGGAATATTACATTCTGTTTTATACTTAGTGATAAACTGAAGACCAACCAAAAGCCTACCCAGCTTTCTCAGGACAGCGTACTTCTGAGATTCTTATTCACCGACATCCTTTTACGGGCCGTATTCTTCTAAGCAACTGAAGTTTTCCAGAACTACTAGAAATCCGTCGAGAACTACGAGTCGTTTGCAACTTTTGTTCGACTTCCTTGTTTAACTACTCCTATAAAAATACTATGCTCTCGTTATCGATCGCCACGACATTTCAACATCTCCGCGAGCTTGAGTGTTTATGAAGACGAGCCGGACCGAGCGGAACTCCAACTGGAAAAAAAACTACTAAGTTATTCGTAGGATGGACAGGCTTCGCGATAATTCAGAATGATGCCCACCTGAGCGATCAGCCCCTGAGGAATGAACTGCTGACGTTACTCTCTGCGGCAGCTTTGAGGACACATTTCGATGTTTGGCTTCTTGTTCTACACAATTTATTGCCACTTCTGAAACTTTGACATTCAGAACAAAAAAGAGGGATTTAATGCCATAAATCCAGGGACGCAGTGGTAGCCTCGCTCCCAAGTATTCTTTTCACACGGTTGTTTCTTTATGAGAAGAGAAGACAGTTTTTGCAGTGTTTCAGTTATTCTATGTAAATACCTTTTAAGTTTTGTCATTATGTACTTTATTCTCTTCTTTCCTTTCTTTGTAGAGTACATTCTAGATTTTGTCATTAACTACTCTCTTCTGTTCCTTTCTTTTCGTTTTCATTCATTCATTCATTCATTCATTCATTCATTCATTCATTCATTCATTCATTCATTCATTCATTCATTCATTCATTCATTCTTTCTTTCGTTCTTTCTTTCTTCCTTTCTCCCTCCCTCTCTGCCTCTTACTTCCCAATTTTAGTTTTTATAAGCGTAATAGTTGTGATAACTGAGAGATTTGTGACCTGACCGAATGTTTTGTGAAGCTAAATGGCCTTCCCTACCGTAAAAAGTCAAGGAGAAGGGTTTGTTCGTCCTAGATTTCTAACCTTTTGCTTCTCCTCCCTTATTCTCGCTCACATTCGCCACTCTCTTCTTTACTCTCCTTCCGTTCATCTTCTATCTCAGCTCGCCTCTTCATAACTTCACTGTGTCCCAGCCTTTCTGTCTCTCGGCGCATTTAATCCACTTCGTCTCTGAGTATTCATTTCCCAGTTTTGAATCCAATTTTGTTTTACTCCGTTCTCTTTCCGCCCGCTAAGAGTTCAGTGCACAATTTCGCTGACTCCCGATTCTGTTCTAATGACGCATTAATCTGCATGAGATTTCCATATAATGACGTCGTCATCTCCAGTGATGACAGCACGTCTTCGCCCCAGGCTTCGCCACGCTGCCACATTATCCTCGATGCAACTCTTCCTCTCTCACTACTCCGCGGCCTTTTCAACTACTTCGCCATTGTCATCACTGCGATGATCCTTTTCGCCATTAATGTCTTTGCAAGTTTAGAGAATTCTAACTTAGTTTCCTCCGTACTGATCTCATCTCGGCAACGAACTGTCGAGTTACGTAGCTCGGTGAGAGTAGAGAAAAACGCAAAACAGTTTGATTTCCCCATTTGCGAAAGGCTATTTCGCCTTTTATGACTAATTTCCTTCAATAAACTTGAAAAGTTTTCCTTGCGTAATGAAAAACGACTTCGTCGGCCCCACCGTTTTTCGTAACCAATCGGTTTCCTTTTGAACCCAGTCTACTATTCTCCTCTACTCTTCCTCACATTTGTGCCTTTTTTTCTTCTGTAAAGAATAGCATGTGCGAGCACAATAATTCTCTAAAACGGACAGCGATCGAATAGCTGTGAAGCAATTTGCATCGCATTCCATCTAAATGAAGGTGGCTTGAAGATGGTTGCTCTCCATCCTAAAATTCTATGCTGAGTCTGGAACGAAGAAAAAAGCTTGGATATTTCGAATTTTACTGCTTGCAAGGAGAATTAATCCCGGAAACCTTGAAATTACCTTAATTTTGCCTCGGATGATCGTATAAGTTTTTGATGGAAGTGAACGAAGGGTTTTATCGTCAAAGCCATTTCGATTTTCGATGTGGTGGTAGTGGTTTTTTTTGATTGGGCTTCTGGAGGTTTTCTCCATCATCCCTGTCTATGTCGATGAGGTAGCTGACGTTTTTCTTCGAAGAGAAAAAATATTACCGTTTTCAAGTTTTCAAGTTAGGAGCCGTTCAAAGGCTACTCTATTGCCTTTGCTTGCTACTAAAGCCTTAGATTTAGATGGTGTATAACTTATAACTTGGACTTCGGCATGCTTTACACTCCAGTGGCATTGATAGCTTTTCTAAGAGTTTCCAGGTCGTCGTCATGAGCAGATATTGGCCTTTGTAGAACGGAGGCAAGTTTGCTGCGTTGCTGGCAAATTCTGGAATGGATTAAATGACAGCCGGGTTGTTATTTAGTAGTGCCGAACTTCTTCTCAACATTACTCACCTTTACGAGATTTGAACTTTGCCACGTATCGCAGTTAGACAGTCAGAAACACAGCTTTATCATGATGAAACGGTAGATCGTTGACAGTATTGCTGAAGAGAAGTATCGCCGTCAATCTTTATTACCTCTATTAATGCATAGTTTAGTTTTCTTCATTTCTTCATTCCGTTCATAGATACTTATATAGCCCGCACCTAGTGTAACCTAGAAAAACCTAGTAATCTAAATGGAAACTACTGCGTGCTTCCCAACATTTCGATTCATTTCCCTGTTGTGCAGGCGTCACTCAGAGACATTTCGGTTTCATATATAAGTTCGCCTATGGCTGGAACGTTTCTGAAGTTCTCTGTTCATTGACGTATTCAATGCTGATCGAGTTTGACATTCCTTGGAATCTCTACGTGGTCGTTCTAAGAAGTTCCTACGCCTTCACAAAAGGCATTCGCAATCTTCTGTGTATCCGTTGGAGGTGGTTTGCGACCTTTCAACTAGATTTCTTGCAGCGATACTTTCGACTATTCGACCCTGAACTACCGAATGTGATCCTACTAGCTGAATCGTTCACATCTACCTAATGGAAATGCATGACTGGTCGCGAAAATATGCCGGTTTATTACCCTGAACTCCTATAGTCTCTAAATTCAAAGAGGACAACCTAGGGAAATTGATAATACGTTGAGCACGAAGCGCAAAGGAGAATTACCCGATATTCAACGCATCTTGTGTTATGAACTTTTAGTGCTTGCCTTTGTTAGTATGAAGACATTGTCCGGTCGTCTCGTTCATGAAAGAACACGTTCTTTTCTGACTTCTCGCAGATCTCGCCTACGATGCAGGAATTTCTAATGAACTGATCCCCTTTTGCACCATTCATAGATCTAGCAGGTTACGGTCAGAAGCCGGCAGCTGTTCGTTTCTTTGCTTACTTCCATTCACGTTCACTCTTTATATCGTTCTGAATACTATAAGATTGAGGATTGCTTTCAAATTCTGTTCACTGCTTTTAAAATCCGACAAATCCAATTATGGTTGGAGCGGAGGAAGTGCCAAAGTAGATGCGCTGGGAAGTCTGCGAGGTGGCGGTGAATCGACGAAGCCGTCAGTCTCAGTAATTTACTTCCGTCTCCTCTAAATTCGTCGATTGCCGCCGTCTGTGATGCTCTTCACAATCAGGCATCACTATTTAGCGTCCTATTTAAAATCGTAACCGGATTTTAGACTTTACATATTCAATTTTCGCCATTAGATGCGATGGAACTCGTAGGAAGCAATTCTTTCATTCATTCTTTTTTACGTTTTTCCTTCTTGTCATTGCTATTATTTTTCTACCACTGTACTAATTGGTATGCTATACTTGACTCATACGTTGAGTGGAGGGGGTTGAGGCAGTCGTCGGCGTGAATTGGTTTCAGTTCAATTCACAAGGTGTGCAGCGAAGATTAGGCATAGTATAACGCCTCGCCGCACGGAATTAAGCGCCGAAGTCTAAGTGTTATTTCTCTTTCACGGGATGGGTTCATATGAAATTTAAGTAATCCCCTATCTACATATCTTATAGTAGAACCGAATATCCTAGGAAACAGAAAGCTGGAAGCGTGTAACATTTCGCAATATGAGGTGTTTTTAATTCAAACAAAAAATCGAGTATATTAAGTGAGTCCAACGAGGTTGTAACGTTGTAGGCATTGTGATGACGAAATTACACAGTTGTATGTCACTACCGTTAAGTTACATTATTCTATTGAAAGGCTGAACTATGCAAATTTTTTGTGACGAAAGGGGATTGACACATGAAAAGAGATAGGATCGATTGCTGTTCAGGATTCCCACTAGTGGAATGTTGAAGTCGTGTTTTATCACAGCGTATCGTATTCAGCCTGTAAGGCGGCTGCCTTGTCGGCGTCGATGCTGACGAGGCGCAAGTCGTCGCTGCCGTCGGACAGCAAGTCGGACGGCACGCAGCGGAAGCGGCGTGGAGAGTCTGTGATCGCCCTCACCGAGATCATCAACCTCGAGACGAGTGCCATCAGCAGGAAGCCCTCGGGTGAGTCGACTTTCATGCTGCTGTCTGTTTCTTGAATTCGTACCGCTTTTGAAGGTTAGCATAGTACTACGTAGTATGTGAAACTATCTAACGTGGGAACTGTCTGTGGTCATAAAATATTAATTTTAAAAAATTAGGCGAAATTATTTTAGCATTTCGTCATGAGGTGAACACTAATGCACCTTGTTAATTGGAATTAAAATCATTTGGATCTACAAATCTTCGAGAACCAGAGAGGAAATTTTGGATTCTGCGAATACGAGGTTTTGATTCTCTCTAACCCATGAGGAGAATCTTTTCGTCTTCTCGTGGAGCATTGCGTTTTGAACAGCGAAGAGAGGACAAGAGAGATTACCTCCAGCAGGACACCATCTTCTCCTCGAATATGACACCCATGTGGGCGTTCGGCGGCTTCCTTTAAAACTTGTTCAAACTTTCTTATTATTCAAATATTTCTCGGATATCCAAAAGTTCTACTTTTCGAATTTCGGTTTCAAACATATTTAAAATGAAAATGGTGCCGTAACTCAGCGCACCTTATCTAAAGCTGTCACATCCCAACCTTTTCAAGTGCTCAAGAGTTATTGCTAAATTCTCGGCACGTATCAGAAAACAAGCGCAGTGATGAGTTTATATACAAGGACACGAGCCCTATTTTTGAAACAACAGGTAAGCATAAAATTAATAACGACAGCAGTCTTCTATTTTTTTTGCTGTAATTACATTTTATCTTTCACAGCTCTTATGATACCCTTCTGGAGCCGAATAAGCCGGCAGTTCCGGCCGACACGGCTGAAGTGTAGTGTTAGGGCAATCCTATCACTACGTTCTGCTGCGTGACATATTTCTATTGCATCATAAATGACAGCAGACTATTGTTTGCGAGCGGAATTTCACACAATGCTGAAGCAAGTGCTCTGATCAAATAGCCTCCCATAACAAAAGCGCTCCTTGAGAAGCAGCATAACTTAGTGCGTTTCATTTCGTCTCATTTATGAGAAGGATGTAATTGTTGTGGAGCTCGCAAGAGCTGCCTTTTAGAAGAGAATGTCTCAGATCTAAACTTTATATGGTCTGGTGAAACCAAATATCTGAAATCGAGAGGTTTATTCAAGTATAATAGTCAGATGACTTTGTTCATTCCGTTCATTTCATTGTAACCGCAAAGGTAAAACGTGCGTTGGTTAGAGTGTTCAATGGTGCGAAAGTGTGATCATTGCAGAGATTCTGCAGAACGATGTTCTGAAGGAGCTGGTGAGACTGGCATGTCTTCTGTCGATGATCTCCGTGTGCCTGCACACTCCGGAAACGATTCAGCTCTGGCCACCGCTCAACTATGCGATTTTCGCTAACGACTGTATTGTGACTTTGGTGTTTCTCGTCGAAGCCGCTATTCACATACATCATGTTGGTTTATGGGAGGTGAGCTGCTCGTTTCGGCTGTTATATATTTTAACTCGTTTATACCTTGCACTGTACTGCGTTGAGATCTTACCAGTATTTGCATTCATTCTATTTCTTTTAATTGATCCTTGTTGATGCGGAAAACAGTGCACATATATATATATATATTATATTTTCTAAAAAATGTAATGCACGCGTACATGAAATTTAATTCGGCAGCGCATATATCTCAGTGGTTAAAGCTGCCCCGCAATAAACACGTACTCGTTTGCTCGTTCCCGTGAATTGACTACTCTCTCCATCTCTCTGAGGTCAGCGAATTGATACCAAAAATTGTTTGAAAGGATATTGGTGCATGTGAAGCCACAGCAATTTTTTGTATAAACTGAATAAGTTTTCACTGGTCTCTGCGATGCTTAACGGGTTCGAATGCTTCGCTCATCCCTAAGGGATTAATCACTACCAAATACATTCCGCTATCCTATTCCTCGTCTGTTGAAACTTTCCTCCTTTATTGTTCTTCCCTCAGATTACATTATTCCTTTATTAAAATTGTTCGGATGGAATATTCAAGACTTTTTGACACAAATTTTACTTGCTTTACATTTTCTTCCATTTCGAAAGTGATGGTAGTTGTGAGTCTCATACGAAGTTTCGTGTTCTTCTTGTACCACAAGAGTATGGAGCGCACTGGGTGGTTATTGTATAAGAGAGAGACAAATAGAGTCTTTAATAGTGTCTTACCGAGTCATGTGATGACTAATGAGGTTTCATACATGTGATACTCCTTTCACAAAATTAATTACTAGTTTTCGGCGATGTCTATTCGTTGGTGATTTCATCTAGCCAGTGATGTGTACTGCATGAGATATATACCGGCCGAGTAAGGATGGGTACGCTGGCCTGTCGTGGGAACTCGCAGATGATACGGGAGCTGCACTATCGACGGACGGCGTTTCGCTCATTTGGGATGGGACTCTGCGTTTCTCAAGCTGTCAGCCCTCAGGCATAATTGCTAATGAGCGAATGCGGACGACATCGCAGACCTCACAGAAGCTTCAGTTGCCAGTAAATGGGTGAAGAGACGCAACTACACCGAAATACTATTATCCACTAAGGACTTACAACTGTTGAAATTTTCGCGCCGCATTTTTGGGCAATTTGGTTTATACCAAAACTGTAAAATATTTATGGGCGACGAAAAGGAAGGCAATTTTGGGAGGGTCAAATTCTTCTGATCACACCTTTTGTCGTGGAAATAGCAGTAGCTTCTTTTCTGTTAAAGATGACGGAAAAGCAAGGGCCAAAAAGCAATACTTAGTGGTCGTTTTGAAAGCTTTAATGAGCCGCGACATGCGATCGCCATGCAGTATTTATTGGAATTTGGCTGATATTTCGTTCGATGTTGGCTTTTTATAATCGTTAAAACTCGTATCGCAGAGCTTTTTTTGCTTACGCAGAGCAAGGGCCTCTGTAGCGCAGTGTGTAATGTGCGAGCTCCCGCAAAGGGAAACCGTGCTTCGATCTAGCTCGGGGTCCAAGTTTTGTGAATATCTCAGCATCGCTGTGGTTGAATTTCACATCGTAGCCTACCGTGAAAACTATAGTAGGCAGCAAATAAGAGGTTAGCACTGTGATTTCGAAATACCGACTTTCTATGAACCTCGGCATAATATTGGTATAGGTTTTCGTTGTCGTTGTTGTTGGTGTTGTTGGTCGATGGTTGAGGTTTCGACAATTTCACCTTCCTCAGAGCCGTGCTGTTACGAGCGGTACATTGTGATTTCGACTACAGCCTCAGCTTAACTGGGTTCAATGCGAATGTGGGCTCCCCAGATCAATCCCGCTGACGGATGATTGCTGACGGCAGCGCTAGGTAGAAAACTAACTGATAGAAACGCAGAGCAAGTACCTCCGTAGCGCAGGGTGTAATACACGAGCACCCGGAAAGGGAAATCGAAATCGTGGTCCTATCTGGCCTGGGGTCCAAGTTTTATGAATATCTCGGCATCATTGTGTTTTCTTGCTTAGTTGGCCAAGGAATTTTCATTTTTGTTTCAAATCTCATCTAAGACTGAGGAATTTGTGTTGGATGCTGATGAGCCGTCGTTACTCACTATGTGCGCTATTAGTTCATAGCTTTGAGCTTTATGAATGCAACTAGTACTGCATCCTTCTAGTGCCATTCATGAAAATTCTGGTTACCCCTAAACAAAGTTGAGGACTCGAGTAGAATAATATTTACACATCACATTACTTATCAGGTGTGGATGCTGTTGCGCTGGTTTGAGTAGACGTCTACCAAGCTCCTCCGGTATGAACATCGTTTTAATGAGTGGAATCTACTTCTGTTGCAGACACTCTAGTAAATTAAATGCATTCTTCTGCACGGCACTCACTATATCGACAAACACTATAGGCTATTCTATCACAAGGAACTCTTTGAGCACTGTAAGCGCAAAAAAAACATAATTGGAATGAAGAAACTCATACCTAACACGGTGTTTTAACCATCAAAAGAGGTGGATAACTTGCAGAGGTTAAAAACGAGCTCATAACATGAAAGCGAAAATGCGAGTAAAGGAAGTGGACGGAATGGCGCGTTATTCAGGCCATCCCAAGAGCGCCGCAATGAGCTCATGCCGTGCTGATATCAATTAAACTTATTTAATTCATCGCGTCGGTTTTCGGATGTTGTGTTATAATTTTTGTCTGGACACATTTAAAATCAGTACAGATTGGATCCGTAGTTTGTAGGTCAATATGTACTGGATCCGTAATCAATGATAGCCATTGTGGACAGTGAGGTGAATTACGAATGTAGTCCTAGAAAGTAGAATGTACACAAATTAAGTTGCGTGAATTGATTCAGTCTCTTTAATATTCGACAGAAAATATCCTGATTGTTATAATGACTGCACAGCTTTAGCTCATATGGAGACACCTGTCGTGCGTCCTCCGTTGACGAAAGGGTTAAACATGGTTTAAAAGCGACCTCGTAAACCCTAAGAAGAAGTTTATCTCAACGTACGAGCTGCCTATAAGCTTTCTGTTGCGTTGGGTTGTCTGCACCTTTTGGGTAGGCAGACTTGTAATCATGAAAGGGTAAATAAAATAAATGTGCTTTCTTGTGCACAGATTGTATCCTGTACGTCGATACGACTAAGTCGTGCAACAAGGTGACTGGGAAGAACAGGAAAGGCAGCTCGGCGTTTTCTTCATCAAAAGTGTACCTCCATTCACGTAGAGCCTGGAGAGTTACCTGAACTTTTACCCAGCCTCCATGGAAAATTTCTGCGAGCTGTCCGTTAATAAACCACATTGTTGCTGAGACGAGAAGAACCTCAGGTGCGCTTCGAACACTTCCGGGAACTCACATTTTATACATTAGACTGTCGATGCCCTTGGTTTGCCTTTCTCTCAGTTGTTAATATATTCTCGCCAATAAAAATAGTCCTCATATATCTCGTACAAACTGTACTCTTTGTTTCTAACAAGTGTGTGGAGCTCTGTGAGAGAATTTGGAACCCGACAAAGACGAATTCAGACTCCAGTGATATTAGCTCGAGCCATTCACTTTTAACCTCACAACGCTAAATGTGCATTGATTCCAATGCGTGTCCTTTTCTTTTGGGACGCAAGTTTTTCTCTCTACTTTTTGTTTTCAACAGATAGACGATCATAAACAAATATTGAGTCAGATGTAACCCAAGGACTGCTGTATTCTGCAACAATTAATAATAATCCACAAAAAATGTGTTTATCGTGTTCGTTTAGTATGTCGAGTGGCGCCGATGGCAGCATTTAAATAACTAGTCGCATTGGTCTCTTCTTTGGTTTTCTTGTTAGTACTCAATGTATCCAACTCAAATATCACTTCAAGATTAAAAATTTGTTCCAACGAAGGTTAAACTCCTATCAATCGATTTTCTATGATAATCCATTTACTACGCTATCAGAAATCAGAAGTGTTCAGGATGAGTCGTCGTATTTACGAGCCAGATGGTCGCAGTTCGATCTGTTCATGTTACTGATGCACGTGCTGTCGTGCGCTCTGCACTGCTACGAGTTGCTCACCATTTTCGTGCCATCGCTAGGACTCGTCGTTAGTGCTCTACTCATTCTATAAATGAAGAAAAAAGTTGAAAAAAAGCGTAATCCGCCGTGCAATTGCTTTTCACACGAGTTCAATTTGTGATAACCTTATTTAAGTTCAGTAAGGCGAAAATATGTCTGATGTATGCAGAGTCCATGTAGTCGCTGTTTTAGCTTTACTGCACAAATCATCATAATGTCCTCTCTGCTTGAGGCTCCTTGAAATCCCTCTAGAACTGAGAAATACCGTAATCGGCAACTGGTCTGATTGACTACCCTAGAATGTCGATTGGTTACAATTGGAGGAATTCTTTTAAAAAAGAGATCTGAAATATGACGAAAAACACCTAACTTCATGTTCTTCTTCACTTTTCATGTTCATCTCTTGACGAATCGAGAACGCTTACAGTACCGCCCATGGTTCGGTGTGATCCGCTCTCCTCGTCCGTTCATCATGCTGCGTTTTATTCGGTCTCTCTTTCGCTTTAAGTTACCTCGAAATCGTATCAAGCAGATTATTAAGTAAGTCTTGAGGAGTCTGTTCTATTTATTCTATTTCCTTCCTTTTCTATTTCACGTATGGGCGGAATAGGGCGCGTGTGGCACAGTGATCGGAGGCGCACTGCAACACACACATGGAATCAATCTCCGTGCCCAAGTCCACCACGCCCTCCATCCTTCCGGAGTAAGTAAAATGGTACTAGACTTGTCTGAGAGGATAGCAGTAGTAGCTCGATACATCATTGTAATGACCAGATGTGCATCCAATCACCTCTAAACGATGCCTGATGAATTCGAATGCATGACGCATCCATCAGGGATTGATCAACGCCGAGAGCTTTATCCTTTATCCTTTTATTCTATTCCACCTTTATTGCTAGCATTTTTGTAGTTGCTTATTTGTTAGTTATTGTCTGCCCTTCCGAAATAGACGGAGCTGTTGATTCCATGACGATTTGTGCCGCATTAAATAGGCACGCCCTTTTCTTAGGAACTAATCAGGGAATGTTGGGCATCTGGCTATACCACCAACAATAAATTTTGAACGGCGACGTCAGTACCGTCAAAAACTTCAAATTTCGGTTCAAAAAACTCGTGAAAGAACAGGTGACAAGTGACCGAATTGCTAGATGCAAAAGAATCAAATATATTTATTTATCCATGTTCCCTGCCTTTGTGACCTGAATGAACCTATTCCATTTAACCCTATAGATGGTAACTGCTTCGTTCAGGAGATCTTCACAACAAATACAAAACGTTACCATCTTCTTTATGTTCTTTATGGCTCTCTATGCAATCATGGGTGTTCAGTTGTTCGGTGAGTGTTTCTTTTGGGAGGTCGCGTTAAAGCACTTAGGCACCAGTTTCTTCCATTGCTCATTGAAATATTCGATTTGGTCTACAAACGGTTCGCATGAAACTAAAAATAAGTGATGTTTTTCTTTTACTACAACTGTACATAACGTTGTCATGAGCAATGTTCCTAGTTTCTTATTTACTTGCTGAGCACACACAACCACGCAGCTCAGCTCAGCTTTACCCACGTTAGCTTTCTATTTACTGCCTATTCTTTCCAGGGTGCGATGTGAAACACAACAAAAGGGTTGCTATGATATGAGCAAAACTCGATACTTCAGTTGCGCTTCGAACTCATAATTCCTGCCTTTCCGGGGGCTCACGCTTTTCCGTTCTCTCAGGCAGTTCTTTTGCTGTAACGATGCTATCAGCAATTGCTCTTCCGACTTTTGCTCATATCTTAGCATCATCTTGGTTACTATTACAAGACTTCGTTAATGTTCCTACGTCATCGTGTTCAGAATATCTAATAACTGTAAAGGAATGCAACTTATCAAATTATCATGAAATCTTCATACCTCTTACCACTAGGTTCCAGGCCGTATGGATTACCACTGTGTGCTGAGTGGCACTGATCCTCGAAACGTCACCATCGCCGACCTAGCGATTCCGGATACGATGTGCTCGCAAAAAGGTGAAGGTCGGAACTCAACAGTAACTTTCATTCAAAATCGATTCCATTATCCAAAGTCCATCTCTATGTTTATAAATAGCTCAAAAGTGATGGGAAGCGTTGGCAACATCGTCTTCTGCTATTAATATTTCAGTATACTTGACCAATCGGAAAAGGAAATAAACCCCGCGAAGCTATTGTTCTGAGATGCCGACGTCATAATCTTTGTCAACCCATTTCGCTATTTATTGTCTTCTTACGTCCCGGATACGATTTCTAATAGACGTTTTTATCAATCCTAATTCGTCATAGTTCCATAACAAATGGCGTAGATCAAAAGAACTCTGAGATGAGTTTTGCTTTAGGAGGCTACGAATGTCCAGACAATATGGTGTGCATGAAGCTAGACATGTCTGCGCACGTCGAGGGATTCTATGGGATGTTTAACGACTTTGGTGGGTGTTCGTGGAGAAAAATGGAGCCGCAGAGGAGCTCGGAGCAACAAACAAGGCTTTAGAAAAACTTCTTGTCGAGTTTTTCTCTATGTTAAATAGTAGACGAATCGATTTTTAGCTATGTGTTTCAGCTTCATCGTTGTTCACCGTCTACATGGCGGCTTCGCAAGAAGGCTGGGTTTACGTGCTGTACGACTGTCTGGACACTTTGCCGTCATATGTCGCCTTCTTCTACTTTGTCACTTTGATATTCTTCCTGGCGTGGCTTGTCAAGGTGGGATTGTACAGTGTTTGCATAGGAGGCAGTAAAATAGCATTTGAATTGCCGGAGAAGGTATAAATATCAGAAAACATAGTTCAGGAGTCTGTTGCAGAAAGAACAACTTTAAGTAAGAATAGCTATGATGTAATCAGCAGGATGCTGGTAAGTATGGAAATGTTACGCGGTAATCCTAAGAGGACGTTATTGCCGAGGGTTCATGCACAATGTGTTCATTGGCCCACAAAGCAGTAATGAAAAGGCTGATGTGGACTGTGTGGTGTTAAATAAGAACGTACTCTCTCTTGCTGACTTTCAACTTCAAACGTTAGTTCAACCTTCTTCAAGTGCAAATCAGTCAGGATTCCTGGATCTTTCAACAGGCCTAGTTTCTAATTTTCATGTTCATTCACTGTATGAATGCATGTTTATTTAGGAGGCCTTTTCAGTGCTTACTAGGTGACCATTCAAAATAGTGTTAAGAATGCGTTGTTTTCTTGTTCAGCAATCGCGAGGTTGTTAAACAGCATACTTCCATAGAAAAACTCACAGTACAATACAACAGTAACTGACGTTTCGGCACTACCGCCTTCTTCAGAACCTGGAAGGGTATACTGATATGCAGTTTACTAGGCCAAACGCTTCAATAACACTTACAAAAAGACGAAAGACTCTTTGGTAATTACATGATCAGCAGCTTCTCGAAGCACTGACAGCTTTCTACGAGACTTCCAATGAGGAAGATTAGAACAGCTGATTATAGTAGCATATGGTTGATGACTGCACCATTCCACACCAGAAATTGATGCGAACATGCGGGGTCAGGTCGCGTATGACCTCTGGGCATTCATCTCTGCTATTCAGTGTAGGGTTTTTGGCACCTATCCAAAAAGCCTCAAGATATTTTGGCGCTAGTGTTTTAGTTTTCTGTGCAAGGATATTGACTTTTACTTCAAAATCGTCTCCGTTGTGCTTTTGTATCCTATGCGTGCCTAGCGGGGTACTTTGTCTTAGTTTTCGCTTGCCATCTAGGTGTTCTTCGGAGTTATTGAAGCGTTTGGCCTAGTAAATTGTATATCAGTATGACTCTGAAGAAGGCGATTCTGCCGAAACGTCAACTTCTGTTGTATTGTATTGTGTGTTTTTCTATGGAAGTAAATGTATGCTGTTTAACAACCTCGCGATTGCTGAACAAGAAAACGACTCATTCATATTCCAGCGCCGAGATTAATAGAAAGTTGATCCAGTGTTAAGAACAGTGTTTAAAATTTAATGTTTCATTAACGAATGAAGCTCGAATATGTTTTTTGCCAACTGTAAATGACTGTTAGATTTTCTGAGCAGCTCACATGTTCATAGAAGAGATTTTGCTCTACAGCCTCTACATGTATATATATATATATAGTGCATAGTGCATATATATATATATATATATATATATATATAGTGCGTGCAAGTGCACGTGCATTGTAGGTACAGATCGTCACTATAGTTCTTTGAAATTCATGCAGCTTCCATTGGCTCTGAGATTTTTGCAGCCTCTCCGTACTCGTCCTATCGAACGCTGCGAAATTGGGGGCTCTTTCGGGGTCAGGGGAATGAGGCCCGTTTTTTTGTGTTTAGCATTTTTGATACCCACGTGGAGCTTGCTGAGCTCTGAACGTGGGGTCTAGCTATACTCACGGGTAGCCTGCCAGGCTTTCCCCGAATGGACATGGAGCTTATTTGTTGGAAGCGACTCTTGACCACTTCCCATATTCCTCCCAGTCACTTGATTGCAGGCTTTTGGCCGAATTGACTCGTAGAATATAATCCGCATAAGCAAGAACGCACCCACACACGCATGCATGAGTACGCCTAGCAAATACAGACAGTATGTGCCAAATCAGCGCAGCAGAAATAAGAAGTCCATCCCCTGGGTCCACCTGCGCCTCAGCGAAGCAAAGATCTTCGATCCGGTCCGTGATCTCCTATCCGCCACCTGGGGACGCTCCACGTAGCCTCACGACTAATCGGCTCGACACCTTTCGTACGAAGGAGATCCGTGGGGAGGATATATGCATACCCACACGTAACATCACAGGTCTGAGGAAGGCGAAATCGCCGAAACGTCAGCAATCGACCAACAACATCAAAAACAACGACAACGACAACGACAACGAAGATCTATACCAACCTCGCGTCAGCTTAAGAAGATCAGTTTATAAGATCATATAAATAAAGATATATACATATATATATGTATATACACATGTACACAAATTGTACAGTGTTTTGTTAATTTTCTCCCAACGGTTTACCGCTTCATCTTGGCTGGGAGGTGTTCCTGGGTGTCGGACTGCGATGTACAGCGAGGGATTCAACTGCCAGTTTGTTCCCCTAGGTGAGAAGGAGTTCGACGTTTCCATGAGGAAGTCCGGCTAAAAGCAAACGGATAACAGGAGCCACCACCGTTCTGGTATCAAACTAGTCGCATGGTGGTAAACATCCCTCTGATCAACAAGTGCTGCGACCACTTCTACTGGTGACGACCTGGGGCAGACTTTGGGCAGGTTGACTTTGGCACTCCAGAGAAACGCAATGCCTAAACCTAAATTCCGAAAAATGGAAATTATGCTGCAGCCCGCTCAACCAGTGAGGACAGGCCGTTCAATTATCAAGTATATGTTAATTTTAAGCATGTTTCGAACTAGAATTTATCGAAAGGTGAAGACGAAATTCAATTTTTTAAAATTTCCAACGGAAGCTAGGAATTCAGACACAGAATCCTTTGTATCTTGCAAGAAGAATTACCCTTGTTCAGTTACTTTCGTGTTTGAAACGCAATTCTTGACGCAGAAAAGTAGGAGAGATATGGGTTATGGAGTGCAAGAAATCATTTTTTTTGTGGTAAGATGGATTAACTAAATCTTTTTGGCAAAGATTTGTGGATTCTAGTGGTGTGTTTTGTAATAAATGTAGTCCACTGTGAACCGAGATATCTTGGTTCAAACGAAACGGCGATAATTTCTTTTGCATCAACTGCACTAAGGCTACAGTAGGTCAGGCAATACTTTGTTAAATGTAGGAATAGGAGGGAAAAAATAGGAAAAAAATTGGCAAACAGCGCTGCTAGATTTTCATTACACCAGTTTCGAAAACATAGGATTAACATAGCTTTTCTTACACGAGTTTCCTTTCACATCTACTCTGCGGATCTCAACACTTCTCGTACTTGACTCATTTCCTGCATCCGTCATACGCGAGCTCCTCCGACTTGAACGTATGGCTTCGGCCACTGCTCGGGGTTTTCCCATTGTCATGATTATCGTTGAGTGCTGGTCGAGGCGAATCTACTAACAGTCCTGAAGTACCCTGGGTTGAGCCTTCTCACTTGAATTGCAGAGAGGGAACGTTTCGCAGACAGGTCCGGCACTAATTTCTCGACCTCAGAGGAATAGAAGGCTTGGTTAGCCCGGAGCGTGATAAAACCAGCCATCGTTCTCTTCATTATCGGCATCATTACCTCTTTCCATCTTCCCAAAATGGACGGGTTTTCAGTAATACCGGTTTTATGTGAGTGATCGTTCCAGTGATTTTTGATTTCCTGAAGGCTACATTAGTGCTCTTTACCCGTCCCATTATGTTTCTGTGCATTCTTTTTAAAAAAGTTTTTGATTTCCGCACTTCTTCAAGTTTTTCGCTTGAGACACTTATTGTTTTATTCATCTTCATGCATTCAGAACGTCTTCATCGCGGTGATCACTGAGACGTTTGCCGAAATTCGAGTCCAATTTAGTGAGATGTGGCAAAGTAACACCAGTGCTTCGGAAGAAACCTATACACAAGTCCGACCATTTCTCATTCACTGATCACCCATTTCTTGACTGCTTTTAAGAAAGATCTGGCACACCGTTCTATCGCTACTTTCAGAATCAATTTTTAACTGTTGTCTCGCTCTCCCATTGTACGTACTTTCGCTACATCTTATAACTCCATAAATCAATAGGAATAAAGAGTTTAATCCTAGTTTTAGTCAATAAATCCAGGTGGCTCATATCACGTGACTTGTTGATTTTCAGAGACTAGAACGTTTTGAAGGTGGATGGCGCCTTGTCGAAATCGACCACTATAGTCGAAACACCAACAGCCCACAGTTTCTTCATGCGGTGGGTCGCGTGTTTTTGTCGTGTGAAGATTTTCCTTATGTTTTTATTAGCAGCGCTGCTTGCAAGGTTTATTAAATATTAGAATGGGTGTTGCTTTATCCTCAATCTGTATTTTAAGGCGTTTTTTCCTTTATATCTATGAGTTCTGTTTTAATTTTTTCTTTCGAAATATTGGTGGGAAACTTGATTACTTGTAAACTTAGATGGCCCGTTTTCACTGGTTTTGCGAGCTCCAGCATAATTTCCGCTACTTTGGAGTCTTGCCGATTTAGCCATTGTGGTTTCTTGGAGTCCCAAGGTCAGCCTGGCCATAGTCTGGCCCAGGGCTGCGACTGCCCGCGTGTTTGTCACTGCCACAGGCAGTCGCAGCCCTTGTGGATCAGAGGAAGATTTGATACCATGCAACCAGTTTCATACCAGGACGATGGTCGATCCTGGTATTGGTTTGCTCTTACCTGGGCTTCTTGATAAAAGCGCTAGACTCCTCAGTTTGGCAGACCCTGCAGGGAAGACGAATTCTCCCGCTGTACATCGCAGTCCGACACTCAGGAACTTCTCCCAGCCACGATAAGGCGGTAAATCGTTGGGAGGATTGGTGGAAAACAAAATCCTTTTTCACATAATCTGACACCACATATTCTGCGGATTCTAGCACTTTTTTCATTCATTTATTTCCTTGTATCCATCATCCAAAAGAGTACTAGGGTTTGCGTACGAGTCTGGCTGCTGGCTGAGGACTTTCGGTCTTATTTGTAAATGTCCTTGACTTGTGTTCGAGTAGATTTTCCTTGGAATCCTGGGATAGCTATACTGGGGCGCTCCCAAAACTTCTTCGCAGGCAGTCGGCAGCATTTGTGGGTAGGAAGGAGCTTTTCGCATTTTTCGCAAACTGTGTACCAATACCTTAGAGGAATTGGATGCACGGTTTGCACCGGTTAAGCTCGAACCGTCTACCTCGTTATTAGATGGCACTTCATCTTCCGTCGTCTGAGAAAACAATCTGATGAAGTTGACAAATTATACGCGGTCCTCTCGAATTTTTCAGGGTTCTTGATAAAGCAGAGATAAAGACTCGGATGAGCTAATAGTATTTTGTTGAGAAGTGACAAGAACAGGTTTTTCTCAGTGCAGAATCTGGCACTTAGTTAAAAATGATAAAGTAATATGAAAGAGTCGGGAAGTAAATTAGGATGTAGATAGAAAGACATTCAAGTCTTTACGAACTAAAATACGAAGCTGCGATTTTTTGACTAGCGAATGGCATTTGTATTGCGGACATAGTGGCAGAGGAACGGCAGCTAGAGTGTATTAGCTATTTTCAATCATGAATAACGAAACCAAAGCCATCACTGATATGACTGTTTAGTGCTAAATTTCTTCAGCGATTCCATTCCAGGTTGTGAACAGTACAACGTTCCAAATTTCGATGATGGTGTTGGTACTTCTAAATGCGCTCATCAATGCCTCTTTCGTCTACCGACACGATCACTCTGATATCGTACGTAAAGAGATCTACTACTACATCGAGGTAAGTAAGGAGTTCACACGTCCGACTTTTTCAATGCCAAGAAAGAATAGACATATCTTGAAGAATTGAACATGGTTGCTACCACATTGATGGATACGGCTATTCATGAATAAGGAATTGAAAACAATCTCAAGAAGCCAAGCCATTCATCCAGTCTTATTATAAAGATTTCCCCAATATTTTATGATTCACCAGGTCTGCTTTACGGTACTGTTCAACGTCGAAGCTTTTCTGAAAGTGATTGGTTATGGCAGCAGAGGATATCTACGACGCGGTCAACATAAATTCGAACTCATTCTTTGTGTTGGTAAGATCTTATTTAATCATGGAACGGTCAATACCGGATGAAATAAACCATTCCTTTCTTAGTTTCTTGCTAATTATTCCCAAAACAGTCACTCTTTTCTGTTTCCGTCGATTAGCAAATGTGCCACCCTCTTCGCCTCTCCACCAGCAGTTTGTGCAGTTTGCCTGACTGTCGGCTTAAATCTATTTTTCCGCTTCTCACTAGAATACATCGTTTATCTGCGGATATTCTTAGCTAATCTAATCTTTGAATAACTATTTAAGTTCTATTAGGGTGAACCTCTCAAGGAAATCCTCTAATTTGTAAAAGGCTTCATCACTTCTTCACTGTTCCTGTAAGAGACCTATCAAGAAATAGTTTTTTCAAAAGAAATTTGAATCCAACAAGTATTTGGGCTTGAGATGTACACATTTACAAGGCCTGACGGGCTGGTAGAATCGAGTCTTTATCTCCAGATTTCAACTTGGGCCACCTCTAACGTGCAGTAATGAAGTTTCCTAGTAGTTAAACGAGAAATTGATTTTTTTCACCTGCAGCTTTTTCTCATCAAACCACCTAGAGCTCTTTCTTATCATTTTTCGTAAAATAAAACCTCCGGTGTGTTGTTTTCGTTACCGAGTGCATCAAGCAAATAGGACCTTTCCATTTCGTTCAGGATCGACCCTGAATCTGATTCGTCCTCTCTACAATATGAACATCTTCACCTACTTTCAAGTGTTTCGCATTGTTCGTCTTATCAAGGCGTCGCCAATGCTCGAGGACTTCGTCTACAAGGTATAAATGCTTGCCAGTGCCGTTTTTAGCACTTTTACACATCAGAGAAGAAGAAATCTTTCTCTCGAATTAATTCACCTGATTGATTGGGAAGTAAGCTGCACATAGTCATCAATGTCTTATCAACGAGCAGGTGAGCAAATGACGTTAAACTTTCGTTTGTTACGTCTTTGATGGCCAAATTGATCACTCGGAACCAAATGAGCTGCTAATTCACTGCATTTTCTATTGTAACCAGAAGTTTTTTACGAGTTACTTTATTTCCTCAAAGATTACTTTTTTCCAAATCTTTTTAAGCTTAGAAATACAGTAGAAGTTTTTCGATTCCGAAGATATATGAGAAAGAGTACTTCTGAAAAGCAGTAGCAATTGCCTTACTCCAAACTAAGAATTGTTAAGTTCGTGTACTTCACTTATTTCACTTCGCAGTTCATTCAATGCTCTTTTGTCAGCCGGACAGATCATTTGCAGATATTCGGTCCCGGTAAGAAGCTTGGAGGTCTCGTCATCTTCACCATGGTGCTTCTCTTCATCACCTCAGCAATTTCGTTGCAGTTGTTCTGCTACGTACCCAATTTGAAGAAGTTCACAACTTTTCCGATGGTGTGTCGTATTAGTTTTGTTTTGTTATGGGCTTTTTATTATGTATATGTCTATGTTAGTATATAGTTATATTATAGTTATATAGTTTTAAGCCGTTGCACTTAAAAAACAAAGTCGATAGTAATCAGGAGGTGCGTCTGAAAAAGGCATAGTGCAGAATGAGATTGGGCTGCACATAGTAACCTATACGTGCCAGTTGCCCACTTCAGGCATTTATGTCGATGTTCCAAATTATCACACAAGAAGGATGGACAGACGTCGTTGTCGAGATCCTTAGGGCCACCAACGATTCCATGGTTCCCTTCGTCGCCATCTACTTCGTCGGCTATCATCTGCTCGTCACACTGGTGAGTTTCCTGTCAATGAGGGCTAGAAGAATGCTGGTGGTGGTGACGCTAAATTGCTGGTCGCCACTCCGAGTATCGCTAATCTGTTTACAGCCGTAAGGTCAGCAGAATAGTGTTTTCCTTGTGCAGTACTACTTGGAGAATAGGTAATCTAGTAGTGTCATTCACAGTGATAGTATTTGCCAGGAGTGAAGACTCGATGTTTCCGTTTGAAACGTAATTAATGCGTTTGAATACGAAATACTTGGTTGCCGAGATGGAAGATAGGCAGACGTATTCTGAATAACGGCGCTCATCATGTGCTTTACGTAAGAAGTCGCTCGAGCGTCTTTTCTAAGTAGAATTGGAGATGGTTTAAATCGAATATTGAGGCATATTAGGGCAGTTCTTGCACAAAGCCCTGAATACAACACAGTGTATTGGTTTGTGTTAAGCATTAGTGAAATATTACTAGAAAGAAATTGGTGATAGTTATAGAAACGACCTATTTTAGAATTTTAGCTTGTTGTATTTTAATTCTCTTTGTCATAGATTGTGCTGAGCCTGTTCGTCGCTGTGATTCTTGACAATCTGGAAATGGACGAAGAACTGAAAAAGGTGAAACAGCTAAAAGCAAGAGAGCAGGTGGGGATGATATGTTCTTCTTCAGTTCGACAAAATTCTGTCATGGGAATTCAACAGACCGTGTCACGGAATCAGTTTCAGATTTTGTCCTCATAAACACTTGCTCTTTAATTTCAAAAATAGAATATACTCATGCCAGCGGTTCATCTTTTCATAATAACAGCTAATAGTTACGATGGAGAACGTAGGGTTGCAGAGGTGCGCAGCATCGAGTTATTCTCGGACCATGGTGATCTCCGAACCGGAAGCTCTTTGTGAACTAAACGTGTGCCTCTGAAATAGTGGTGAACTTATCGCCGAGGAAAACAGAAATAAAGGGTGTCATACAAAAACTTTGGTGTTGCTCGGCGAATAAAAACATCTGCTGTCGTTGCTGCCACTGGAGTTTCTGGGTCATTAACGAAATTATAATCAATGCCGATCGATGAAAGCGAGTTGCTTCAAGAGGGGTGAGAACTGCTGGTAATAACAGGTAATTACTGATGCAGGCAACAATGAATGATACTTAAAATTGTTATTTTCCCAACGAGCACCACAGTTTCTTCAAAGCATCAGTGCTAAAAATTTCAACTTCATTTGAAGGATTCGAAATGCTTTTTGTGTCAGATTTTGTTGCCGCTTGGTAATTTAAACTTCAAAGCTAAACAAAACATTTTTATCACCTGCCGCTCACTGAAAAGTACTGTATTCCTATAGAAGTAAGATGTGAGAAGAGCAAGCTTTTTAAATCTTTTTGGGAACATGAAATTTTCGAAATAAGTCAAAAATGTGGATCATGCTTTTCATATTCTACTTAGTAATCTTCTCCATTTTTGTTCTTTATTCCTCATATTCTTCGCTTATTGTTCTTTACCCTCCCAACGGTTTACTTCCTCATCATGGTTGGGATGTGCTCCTAGGTGTCGGGCTGCGATGTACAGCAGGGGATTCATCCACCCTGCAGGGTCTCCCAAGCTGAGAAGGAGTCCAGTGTTTTTATTAGGAAGCCCAGCTAAGAGTAAACCAATACCAGGATCTACCACCGTCCTGTATGAAGCAACTCGCGTGGTGGAAAATCTCCTTCTGATCCACAATGCGAATGGCGGCGAATGCCCGTGGTGGTGACGACCTGAGGCAGATTTTGGCCAGCCTGACCTCGGGACTCCAAGAAAACACCATGGCTGAGCCATTAAAACTTTGAAAATGGATAATATGGTGTAGCCAGCACAACCAGTGAGGACGGGCTGTCCAAAAATCTAAGTACTGTTCTTTCCAATGAAGAAATATTCTCGTTTAGAACACCATAAAAACCACTCTACCATGGCGTCTGCGAGTATTCGACAGATTCCCGACAAGACCTCATATGATTTCTCTAAAAAAGGTCGGGTTTCCTACTATTGCTTATTATTTGTCGATTTTGTATGAGTTTTTGTCGTCTTTTCTCTCTATCTAACTGATCTATTTTCTCTTTTTTTCGACGAGTTTCGTCAGTGTCATGATAACAGAAGTATTCTAGGTGACGTCAGAATTTCCCCTGCCAAAAATCCGCGACTCATTTACGCGTCAGTTTGCCGACGAGACTGACTGCAGCAAAGAAGGGAATGACGGTACGGTACGCGGCGGATACCCAGTGATGGTATCCTTCTCTCTCTCTTTCCTTCTCTCTTTTTCCCTCTCTCTGTCTTTCGGTTTCTTTCCCTCTCTCTGGCTTTCTCTTCTTCTGGCCGTTTTCCTCTCTCCTTCTCCCGATCTTGCTGTTTTAGTCCTCATCTCTCCCTACTTACCTCATGCAGCTCGCGTGTTCCAGTAACGGTGATATGAAATTCCTTTAGATAAATGACAATTTGTAATTGTTTTATGTAAAAGCTGTTCTCGTTTTTCCAAAAGATTTCACACAAAGAATGTTTTTGATTTAAAATGCGGCTAATCAAATGTTTATATTAATGTCTTTCTTTAATGATTCCATTAACAACCACATAATTCCTCTTGGAACCCTTGGGATTTCTTCTGTAAAGGTTAGTCGAGGAAACTTCGGCTTTTAGCACAGTGAATTCCATGCTACTTACATTGTGGACTGGTAACCACAATGAGAGCAGAAATATTTACTTACTCATCCTCCTCTCACTGTTTTTGATAGACCCGAATGGTGTGGTGGTGAAGGCGTTAGCCCCGGGAAAGGGTAATAGCGCGCTCGTTCCCCACCGCAGCCACCGCCTACCCGGAGTTTTGCAAATATCTCAGCATCATTGTGATTGCATTTCTAATAGTTTCTTCGTTGATTTTTTATTTCTTTTGGTTGAAATGGTTATACGCAGACCATTTTCAGTCTACCGTAACCTTGTTATTTGCAAGTTGGACGGTTTTGTTATGCTTGAGAGTGCATATATAATAGCAAGCAAAAATTCGAACTTTCAATCTTTTCGAACAACTCTTATGGGCTACTCATACGTCGACCTCACTGACATTCCAATCGCTCTAAAAGAGGTTCATTCGTAGGCGAGGATATCATTTTTGGACGATGTCGATCGCTGAGACAGAGTTTCTTCCACTCCCTCTGAAGGGTCTTATGACGCGTGATATCACTAATCGCATCCTGTCAGCATGTATCCATCATGGAACTGATGTGTTCTCTTGTGTATTCTGAATGCGAAGAACAACCTATTTCAAACATTCCACTTGTTTTTTTCTGTGACATTTTCAAGGTCCAGTCAATCATGTTTTTCTTCTTTGTTTGTATCATTGTTGAAGCAAAATGTCTTAAATGTCGTACAGACCTATACATTGGAGCGACTAGCATAGTGGTAGTGATGTCCTTCATCACAGGCATGGTGCTAGTTCGATTCCGCTCAGGGCCAACCAATCCTCTCTTCCCTCCGGTGTCGGGAAATTGGTAGCGGTGTCTGCATAAACATCACTCTCCGCAATTCAATTGGGAACGCTCCAGCCCGACTATCTCAGGACTCCAAGAAGAATTGCTTTGAAATGAATAAATAATAACAATAAAAATAAAAAATAAAGAAAGGAGACCTGTACTCTTTAAGATGATGCAAGATCAAATTTTGGGTGGGTTGCTCGCGCGCAATAGAAATGAGACGAACTCTCTTAATAACTTTATAAGAAGAAGAGTGTCATGATTGTTGAAGGAAAGGGAACGGCCTAACCTCATGGTATACTGTGTTTCGTGTATAATCATTTACTTGACCGATATTAGATCTGATTGGACCTAGTACTCTGTAGTAGTGTGTATCGGAGTCATGGACCACCTAATGGAAGAAAGTTGCTTTTTGCCTAGATTTTCTTGCTGAATTCCTCTTTGAAGGATAAAATTTCAAAACATCAGTTTATGTATTGCTGCCTTTTGACTTGTTGTAAATTTAGTGGAATCATCCGGAAATCGCTCGATTCTAAGACGGGGAGCGTACATTCGAGCGCAGAGGAAAATCCGAATGCGTCACATTGGACAGAATTCGAGCCGCCACATCGTCAGCTCACTGCTTGAGTTCGTTTTCTATTCATTGGAATTCCTATGTTTGTTGTAATCTGTGTGCATTCACTTTATCAGTTTTGGTCCATGTGACAGCCTGAGAGTAGTGAGTACATTAGTATCCCAACTAGAAAGCATAACCTCTTCAATACCGCGGAATACTGAAGGTGATTTCAAACTGAAAACAATGAGAAAAAAACTGTAAGGAGGAAAAGTTCCCAGTTTTTCTCTTGCAGTGAATCAAATCGAAATCGTGCGATATATTCCGATTCGAATCAAATTCTGCCGCCTATTGGAAGATCTAGTATGAAAAATGCCAAGGGAACCTCCGTGTGGGTATTTTTCTCAGTGTTTTCAACTGTTTTCAGCGCCAAAAACTTCCAACGACGTCATCTACTTAAGGGATTCGCGTACACGTGGATTCCAGTCGATAAAGGGCAAGAATCACATTGACGGATTGAAAGAAAACGGCGACGTCCGTCCATCCGACTCGGCTCCTAAAAAAGAGCCAAAACAGGGCGAAATAGACATCAAAGCACTTCAACAAAAACGTGCCCATGCGGAGATCACACGGTAAGTTCCCTATGATTTTGTCAATTGCTAATATTACCTAACTGCTCTCTGTCATGATCTGATCGTCTACAAAAGTCATTACAGTGTTTTAAACTTAGGCGTTGCTCTAAGCTTGTGCTCATGAATTGATTTTGACTTAAGCAACTCTTCGTATTCTTAGTTGAGCAAACGCGAGGTGTTATTCTATTCTTTAATCACGAACAAGCTGACGTTTCGGCGGATTTCGCTTTCCTCGAAGCCTGGAATGGTCGAGTTGGCGGCAATCATTCGGCCAAATACCTCCATAATTAAACAGAGAAAACGCTAAACCAAGATTTCAATCACACTGAACACAGAACAACTTTTTTGCCCACTCACCGCTTTCTATGAGTCTACAACTGGGTATGTCGCGTGGAAACCAACCGCACAGAATTCACATGGAAGCGTAATGTTCCTCTCCCATCAGAATAACAAGTTTATATATTGTCCAATATCACGCGTAACAATGAGGCATTCTTCCCTGCGGTTCATTTTCGGATTTCTGGAATTAATCCAGAACGCCTCGAGAGTTTTGCGCTCTTGTGTTCTCGATTCCTCTCCGAGGATCGTGACACGTTCTTCCAAGTTCTCCCGTTATGACTCTGGGTCCTATACGTGCTTAGTGGAGTATTTGGTTTACGTTTACCGACTAGGTGTTGTTTTATGCGGTCACAGAGTGCTTTACCCGTTCCGCCAATGTGTTCGACTCCGCACACCTTACAGAAGATCAGGTAAACTGTACCCGAACTCATGCAATCACCGTCTCTACCATTAGGGCAAATTATGCAATTTTCGTTGCACATAGACGGTCATATAGGCGGTTAGGAACTAGCTGGCGCCTAAGAGTACTCGGTGGCATTTCAACTACGTTTACCGAATTCTCTAGACCCGCCCTTCTTAAGCAGCGTTTTATAACTGCACTTACTTCGTTGGAGATATAGGGTAGGATAAACGGGACCTTTTTATCGTTAGTGCTGTTGTTTGGGGGCTTAGGATTTCCACTACACCTGTCCCGAGCTACAGTTTCGTAGTCGTTATAAATGGCTATTTGCCGCGCCAAGTTCCGGCACTCCTCTCTCTGCTCTCTTCCCGTGCACATGTTGGTTGCTCTTCGAAACATGTTTCTTTTGCGCTGCTGGGATGCGCAGTACGTAGACGATCCAACAACGATCGTTTCGCAAAAGGAAAACGAAAAAAACATCGAAACGCTTAGCAGAGCTTACGTGAGAAAGTCCTTCGACGTTACCGCCCTTTACATAAACGTGTCGAATGATTTCGCAATGCAAGCCATATTCGAACTCCATATACAAAACAAAGGAGAAATAAAAATGTATGGCTTCAAGATAGAGCAGTTGATGACACTCCTAAAAGAATGCATGAGCTGCTCAAACTTCTGATGGTCCGGAAAGTACTACGCTCAAATAAGAAGGTTGGCATTGGGACAACGACTGGCACCAAATCGTGCAATTACGATGTCTAAGGTGGAAGCACCGCTGACTGATCTTGGGCCGCTACTCTACTGTAGGTATGTAGACGACTGCTTTGTCCTTTGCTCAGCACAAGAGGAAATGGACAAATGCTTCGAATTATTGAACGAACAGTCAGAGTATATCAAGTTCACCCGAGAGAAACTGAAAGAATAAAGGCTTCCATTTCTGAACGTGAAAATTAACCTGTCAGAAAATGGCTACATTACGAAGTGGTACCGAAAGCCAAGTAGTAAGAACACCTTGGTTCATTACCTCTCCTCTCATCCCTCTCACAAGAAAAGGGCGCTTGTGAGAAACAAGTATCGAACAGCTACCAGCGTGTGCACAGGAAGACAACAGAGAGAGGAGTCCCGGAACTTGGCGCGGCAAATAGCTATTTTTAATGGCTACGAAACTGTAGCTCGAGATAGGTGTAGAGGAAACCGCAGGTATCCCAACGATAACTCTAGGGACAACAAGGTCCCGCTTGTACTGCCCTATATCTCGAATGATGTAAGTGCAGTTATAAAACGCTACTTAAGAAGGGCGGGTCTAGAGAATTCGGTAAACGTAGTTGAAATGCCACCGAGTACTCTTAGGCGCCAGCTAATTCGTAACCGCCTATACGACCGTATGCAACGCAAAATTGCATAATTTGCCCCAATGGTAGAGACGGTGATTGCATGAGTTCGGGTACAGTTTATCTGATCTCCTGTAAGGTGTGCGGAGTTGAACACATTGGCGAAACGGGTAAACCACTCTGTGTCTGCATAAAACAACACCTAGTCCGTAAACGTAAACCAAATACCCCACTATGCACGCATAGGACCCAGAGACATAACGGGGAGGACTTTAAAGTGTGTGTCACGATCTTCGCACAGGAATCGAGAACAAGCGCGCAAAACTCTCGAGGCGTTCCGGATTAATTCCAGAAACCCGGAAATGAACCGCAGGGAAGAAAGCCTCATTGTTACGCGTGATATTGGGCAGTATATAAGCCTGTTATTCTGATGGGAGGGGCACATTACGCTTCCATGTGAATTCTGTGCGGTTGGTATCCACGCGACATACTCAGCATGCACTAATATTTCCTAAGCTGACAAGCGCTCCGACAATTGTATCCGTTGTCCCGATAAGAGTGAACTATGGTGAATCCACTGAAATGTTTAGCCTCTTTATCTGAAAATTTGTGGTTGTAAGCTTCTCTGATCATGCTTTAGTTTTTCAGCAATCGAATTGAAGAAGAGATGAGGGAGAATCACCCACTTTTTGATCGACCGCTGTTCGCTATTGGAAGGGACTCACGCTTGAGACTGCTCTGCCAGAGCATTGTATACGCGCAGTACTCTCCTGGACGCATTGATCCTGTCACCGGGAAACAAATCGTACTCAAATACAAGCAACTGCAGTAAGTTTCCGCGGTTCCTCATTCATTCCTCTTTTCCATATGTCTTTCCTTTCCCTCGTCTTTCTACTGTCTTTTTTCTTTCCCTTATTGTTATTCCACGTTGTTCCTTTTTTTGCCTTTTCGCCCGCTAGTTCTCCTCCAACTTTTCTGACCTTTATGTAATCATCACTCTACACTTCGCCACTTCAGTGACTTCATCGGGCTTATGACATACCTCGATTGGACCATGGTGTTCGTCACATCGCTTTCGTGCTGGTCTATGCTCTTTGAGAGTCCTTGGCCAACAACCGGAGAAAATCTCATTTTTAATAATCCATACCTTCAGGTTTGTTTTTTCACATTTTCTTCCAAGGAGGATGCCTTATTCCATGGTTTGCTCAGCAATTATGCACTTCAGTTCATAGCATGCTCTCATTATCACACCTTTATTTTGAGTTTACGGTTACAGCAGCATTATGAAGTATGCTTTGAAAAACCGAAGTTTAAAACATGGGTTATGTTTCTGCATTTGGGACAAATAAGTTACTATATGGATTATAGAAAATGTACATTAATTCAGTCTCGGGAAAGGTTATAAATAATAGCGCTGTATTGCGGAATGTCGTTGCGAGTTGATGTTGATCGAGAAAAACGGGGGTAGTGACCAAAATACCCAGTGTTCAAATTTCAAAGATTCGACAGCGATTTTCTTCAGATTACCGAATATCTTTATGTCGTTGCGATGACGTTCGAATTAGTGATGAAAGTGATTGCAAACGGTTTGTTCTTTACACCGAAGGCCGTTGTGAAGGACGTTGGTGACATCATGACGTTTTTCATTTATTTTGTAAGTTTTTCTAGAAAAGTTTTATTTAGTCTACCCTAAGTCAGTGCGCGTTATCCCTCGCAGATTATTAAGGAAACGCAAATGTCTTGCTTACTTTTACCCTTCACTGAGTAAAGGTGTTCTGTCAAAAAACCTTTTTGCTTGTGATTATCCTAATCACATCTAATTCACCGATCTGAACAAACTAAAATTTATTCGATTGTTCGTTTGTGAAGAACAGCAGCACTTTATTCCGTTCGCTCCAATCGGTGGCGCGTGTGGCGCAGCGGTCGTAGGCGCCATGCAATACACATAAGGTCAATTTCCGCTCCCCTGGCCTGCCAAGCTTTCCATTCCTCCTGGGTCGGCAAATTGGTAGTACTAGACTTGTCTGGGAGGGTAGAAGTAGTGGCTCGATATATCGGTAGGCCACCGTGACTCATTGTCAAGGCCAGATATGCATTTAATCGCCTCCAAGGGATGCTTAGTGAAGACGAATGCATGGCGCATGCCTAAGTGATTCATCAGCGGCGAGGGCTTCATCCTCTAGTCGCCTACTAATTTCATTTGTAGGGAAACTATTGCACAACATATAACAAAAATGAGCCTAATTTTTCGGATGGATCTTTGAGATCAAATTAACTTCGAATTTATTGCTTCTGTGGTGATAATAGCTAAGGATACTCTTAATATGTATCAGTTTCTTTCCAGAGTTCGCATTTGCCTTTTTCAAAGTTCGACTTACAGACTAGTGTCATCTACTTACTATGGATGCCATCTCATGTTGAGATAAACTCATGGGCTCAGCTGTTGATGATCATGCGAGCAATGCGTCCACTTCGCATCTACACTTTGGTGCCCCATATTCGTAGAGTTGTGGTGGAGTTGTGTCGTGGATTCAAAGAGATTCTTTTGGTGAGTTACACTTCTCGTCCTCATCTATTCTTTAAAACATTTTGAGAAGCACGATAAAGGCTAAACGACTATTTTTCGTCTATCTTTCTGACGCACGATCAGACTTTTTTAGGCAACTTCAAGCCGATGAATGAATTTCCTAAAGAGTTCTCTCCCTAGGGTCCTACTGATGTGCGTAATACTGTACTGTTGCATCATATAAAAAACAAAAAATTAGGCCAAATAGAACAACAATAAATGGTAGAAGCAAAAAGTAGGGAAAACTTTAGGTGACCATTTTGCTGATCGTGCTGATGTTTGTGTTCGCGAGTTTCGGTGTGCAGATCGTTGGAGGGAAGCTAGCAGCTTGTAATGATCCAAAAATCACATCTAGAGTAGGTCTTCTTTCTCTTCGGGTGCTTCTCTCCTCATTACCTCATGTTTGCATCATAACCAGGAAAATTGCACTGGCATATTCGAGCAGAAGTTATTCGTTACACGGATGGAGGTGTACGGAAAAAACGACGACAAACTCCATCCGAAGATCCTCGTGCCTCGTGTATGGTGAGTTTAACATCCCAATTTGTCTATGAATTAAGAAGAGATCTGATTTTCATCAAACAACTATCGCAGTTTTCTATTTACTGCCATTTTCAGGACAAATCCTCGGAATTTCAACTTTGATCACATTGGGAACGCTATGCTTGCCTTGTTCGAAACCTTGTCCTACAAGGGTTGGAATGTTATTCGCGATATTCTCTACCTCCGACAAGGACCGGTACATCTATTTTATGCGTCTTCAAACGATTTGGAATACCGAAAAGCATGCAGTGAAGCATTTTTTGAAATATAAATATTGATGGAATTTGAAGTGATCGGGGCACTTACCTTAATAACAGAACAACACTCCGAGCGATGCATTCACAAATATCATTTTGTTCCTTCTAGTCAACACCTCACCCCGATGCTTTTTTGGGCCTTGGCACTGACATACGTACGTTTCTGTTTGTTGATTTAGAGTTTTTCGTTACAGTGGGCTGTATTGTTTATCCACATTTACGTCTTCATTGGCTGCATGATCGGTCTAACACTGTTCGTCGGCGTCGTAGTTGCCAACTACACGGAGAATCGAGTAAGTGGTGTTCGATGTCTTTAGTATCAAATGTGTCTGAGAAATAATGCTCCTGATAACTATGGTATTCAAGCTGTGTCTACTCTTGTCAAATTATGGAAAGCGATATCACAGGGTGTGATTTTTTCTTATTTCCACTAGCTCTAACTGTGAAATTACGATAAATGTCCAGCCTTTATCCATAGGCGTGTCTACCCGAGCATGAAGGAAATTGGACGCTTGTATGCAGAGGTTCGCTCAGATTAGCGTTACTTTCTTAACCTTATCACGCGATAGGCTGTAACCAACCAGCTGAGTGCGTTAATGTTATAGAAGACGATAGAAGACGGCACCGCCGAAGAGAATACCATTTTGTGAACGCTCATTGACTAAGTAGTTTTGCTGCTGACATGGTCTTTCATTGAATGCGAGTCAAATAGAGCGTGCTCAAAGAGCTAGGCAAACCGGTGAAAAGGATAGAAGGACTGGGAGTGTTCAACGTTGGCCAACCTCATTGGGTTACGCCATGCATGCAATGTCATTAAACATCGTTGGAGTTGCTTGAATGCAAATTTGGTCTATGCAACGATAGCTCATCGACAAGTCAGTTCAATGTGTCAAGCCGAATTTTTGAAATTCGATCCTGGATACCTTGTGGACCAATAAGAATTTGGTAGCTCTCTATTAATGAAAATCATTTGTACATATTTGGTTCAATGAACGCGGGGAAAAATTTAGAAGTGGCACTTAATAGGAGACGGAGAACAGCACGGAACTCCCTCTTACCTTCCATCGATATCTCATCAGTTCGTCACAGCAATTCGTTCAATGCTTTGTTATGCAGATGAAGCGTATATTGGTACCTTAATTATGTCGAGGAGTCCACGAACTACTAATGGAGCACCTCAACGACGCCGGATGGAATGCAGTCCATACGTTCAGTATAAAACTATATTTCAAAACCTATAAAAGTATGGAGCTCTCGGCCTTGATGAATGTCTGAAGGATGCGCCTTGCACTGTGATCTGCCAATGTATCGAATAAGTACTGCTATCTCTTCATGCAGACCCGATACCAATTTCATGACCCCGGAGAGATAGTAGGTTTGGTGAGACAGAGGCATGGGATCGAATCCATATGTATTGCAGGGCACCTCTAGTCAGTGCGCCCTCCTCAAAATCTATGGTTCCAACAAATATCCTACTTCCTGGCTCAACATAACATGTAAACCATGCGAAGCACGAGTAAGTTTCCTGGGTTAAAAGGTTCTGCAACAGACTCCAGAAATACACATGTGTCCGTTCTGAAGGAAACCTTAATTGCAAAGGTATCTGTTTTCAACGACAAATGGATGGATGCGTGTTGCTGAATATTACTAAGTCAGAAAGTCCAATCACCGTACACAAAATAAGCCATTGTGAGAGAATGTAAATGACCGAATTTGCGTAGGTGCCCGTAAAATCCTTGAAAATAGGTCTTAAAACTACTCAACTACTTCACAAACCGATTATATTTAAGCTCAGTATGAATGATCAATGCACCTTCTTTTACTGATGAGCTAGCATGGGGTTGAGGAAATAAGCTTCATTCGGCTAACGTTTTGACGTCTTGGTTTTTCTCAGAGCCAATAACCTATATCGATTTCCACAGTTCTTCGTGAACTCGAGGTGGTGTCTTCGTCGCCGTATCGAGTCATGTCCTCTTCAGTGGAGAATCGCTTAAATGAGGCAATCCTCTCACCCGACGATGTTCTGAGGTTATCTGGTCGGGACATCGGCTCTGAGGGAGAAGAAGACGTCGAAACGTCGGCCGAATGAAGTTTGTTTTGATTGCTGATGGCAAAAGATCGATAGAACTAGCTGAGAGACAGGCAAGACGAAGGACCCGGATGGTGTGGTGGTGAAGTGCGCTACTCCCCGGCAAGGACAATAGAGTGCGTTCGTTCCCCACCGCATACATTTGCGGTCCAGAGTTTTGCAAATATCTCAGCATTATATACGAGTTATGCTTCGCAACATACCCTGCCATTAAAAAGAAAAGGCAGTAAATAAAAGGGTTAAAGTTTGTTTTATTAATCTCGTGTTAGCTCAACAATAGGAAGAGATACTCAATTATTTTTTTTAGATTTCTGATATACGTACGCCTGCGGTTTCCATTCTTGATAGTGTCATATTGATCCTTCATTTCTTTCTAGAAATCCATTTGAGATTTTTAGGGGACAGCACTTCTCACGGTTGATCAACGACGATGGCACGATCTTAAGGCGAGGCTCAAGATGGCACAGCCGTTGCACGTACCCCCGAAACCACCTGAAAGCTCAAAATTGCGCAGCTATCTCTACGATCTTACTTTGAGCAAAGCTTTCAAGCAGGTGTTTCGTTTTGCCTGCGCTATTCAAAATTTGTCCCAGTTCAGTGTTTAACAAGACGTCTTTCCTAGGCATATGAAGTTATTCATGTCAGATATACAGTTCTATTATTGGGTGTCGTGGGTCTCATTTGTGTGAAGAATCTCGGAGACTATTTGTTGTGTCCCATGTTCCGGATTGGGGTTAAATGAGAACTATAGACCATCATGTAGTTGAGCAGAGGCGCAAACGGATTTACGGAATGTTGTTTCTTTTCTGAAAGGCGGGATTAGCGTGCGCCTTAAGTATCCACATATTCATTATTCATGCGCAATTGCATTTCTGGAGAAACACAATGACTAAACCAGCAAAACTATGAAGAATGGAGAATGTGCTGGGGTCCGCAGAGCCAGTGAGGACGGGTCGCCCAAGTATCGAAGTAAGTAGGTATCTGTGTGAATGGTGCTCCACGAGGAGTACGCAGAAATCGCGTAGTCAAACTGCTTAGAAATAAATGCAGAACCCCACGTTTCTGGGGTCTGCTAACCTTTTGGTGACATTTTCATTAATTCGATTGATATTGATAACTTTCTACCAATTTTTTGTGAAAAGGCTTGTGGTTACCTCTGACGAACGAGTTCTATGTGTGCTATTGTAGAATCTGTGAGGCATACGCAGCTCTCACGGATACTTTTTTTGCCAAAAACAAAATTAGGAACGGAGTGTCGTACGAAGATTGTGCTGCTGTGACCCCTTGGCCACCTTTAGAAGCTATAGCTCTAGATCTAGCTCTAGCAGTGGCGAATGGAGTCATTAGTGGTACCTGTTCAGCGCATTAGTTACTTCTTTCATTATTAGGTGATCCTTTTTCCTATAACTGACTCATATTCTGAAAGGTGGGGCGTTTATGCAATGCATTATTTGTTGTGATAAAATGTGTTTTTTATTCCTCAAACAATTGTGGACAAACGAGGCTTTTGTTCGCGAACGGTGCTAAACATAAAATTTTTTTAGTCGTTCGCCATCCTTGTGGTGGTGAACTCATTTACACTTGTCGTACCGTGGAACGTCGAAGAGGAGAAGCAGCGACGGAACGTCTTATTCGGTCTGACGGTGCTGTCAGCGTTTTGCAATATTCTCTTCACTGTTGAGGTTCGTGCACTTTTTTCCCACTTTCCTTTTCCTTGGGTCCACACGTAGTCAACGTCGCGAGATAAAAGGCAATGTTCTCACCATCGAATGCCAGGGATATATCCGATGCGTTTCCTTTTTATGTGAGATCGAGTTTTTACGAGGAGATCACCATATATCACGTCATTCCAGATAATACTCAAGTCGGTCGCGTTCACAGTGCGAGGATTCTGGCAATCGAGAAGAAATCGTGGAGATTTCATGATCACTGTGCTCGGCTTGCTGTGGATCGTCTTTCATTTTCTGTTCCAAGGTGTTATCGCTCTTATTACAACCATCATTACGGCGTACCAATATGACACCTATCATTGTTGTTCCTTAGACTTTATTAAAATATGACCAACCAGTTCGGATTACATGGTCGCCTGTTCCTACATGCCAATTCACACGTGTGGTCCAGTCGCCGCACTGGAGCGTGATCATTGTTTCTACATCCACTCATAGAACCTCTCATAGAAAGCTCTGAGCTCTTCATATATAGTTTTTTGCTACTTTAGTTCCTGCTTACTTCGTGGGAGGGATCAATGAATGGAAGAGACTCACCTATACGTTCGGATATATGGTCGTCATTTTGCGGTTTTTTACAATTGCCGGTAAGACCTCTAGTTATTCGGATCCAGTAACAACTCGGTGCACAAAGTAACCTTTTTGTTTGGTAGGAATGAATAACATTAGAAAATACTTGGGCCTGTCGAGTTTTCCTGTCATCATCGTTATTTCCTGGCGTCAAGTTAGGAGGTCGGGCTTCTTGTCAGCAACGAGTCGTAGCAGCTTTCTTCAAGATTTTTGTTTCAAAGTTTTTTCTCTGTGGGGTTTGGCTGAAACACAAAGCATTGATCTTAACCATTTTATTTACTGCCTGTTCTTTTTAACGGCAGGGTATTTTGCGAAATATAACTATTATAATGCTGAGATATTTGCTAAAAACTCCGGACCGCAAGTGCTTGCGGTGGGGAACGAACGCGCTATTTTCCTTTCCGGGGAGTAACGCGTTCACCACCACACCATGCGGGTCCTTCGTTTTGCCTGTCTTTCAGCTAAACGAAAGACCCGCACAGTGTGGTGGTGAACGCGTTACTCCTCGGAAAGGACAATAGCGCGTTCGTTCTCCACCGCAAGCACCTGCGGTCCGGAGTTTTGCAAATATCTCAGCATTAAAATAGTTATATTTCACAAAGCATTGACTTCTTTTGTAGGCTAATCGAGCTTTTTTCTATATATATAAGCTTGCGACCTTCTACTTTCCTCTAAAGTGGCAATATGCTAGGTAGAATGAGAACTACATTTTTAAAGGTCGAAAGTCGACGTTGAAGATGCTGATGTTGACGGTGTTGATGTCAATGGTGCGTTCCTTGTTCATTATCGCCGCCATGTTCCTACTTGTGTTGTTCTATGCCTATACCGGAGTGATCCTCTTTGGAATGGTGAAATACGGTCAGGCAGTCGGCAAGTGGGTCATTTTAGGAACAACCGTTGTGCCTCATGTTTATAACAAATAAGTATATAAGGATGAAATAATAAACGGTGTGATACACTTCTCACTAAAAACTGAACCAAGTTTGTTTCTGGCTGAATGCTGCAAGTTCATCAGGTAAAGAATGAAGGAGCACATGACTGATGGTGACTGATTCAAAAGCTTTTCAAGATTGAAGAAATAAGAAAACAGTGAGAAGCACGTTTCATTGGAATCCAAGGAAAATGAAGCGAACTTTGACGAGAACTCTCATTATGGCAATTATTTGGTGAACTACTGTGTTCAGATTATCTCTACTTAGGAAATACACAAAGAAAAATGTTCCCTATCCTTGGAAAATAAATTACCTCTCGCTAGATGAAGAACTGTCACCTTCTTTCTTTCGTTACGAAGTTATTGTCTGTAGGCACGTGAACTTCCGCAATGGCCGCGAAGCACTGGTAGTTCTGTTTCGGTCGGTGACTGGCGAAGACTGGAACGATATCATGCACGATTGCATGGTGAGTTTTCTTCCATATGCTCAATCTGTGGCATTATCTGGTTGTTTTGAGCAATATCACTAAAAGCGAATCGAGAACAAACAAATGCTATAATGGCAAGAAAGTGCGAAAGTTTCCAAAATCAGAATTAAATGGAAAAAGTTTAACGCCGTTATTAACAGTGCTCCTGGTGATTTACATTATGCATAAGCACAACCTAACTTCATCTCTGTTACTACGAGAGTTACTCATTGAGTGTAGTTAGCTCGATAAACACCATTATTAAAACCTTTATGAAGATGCCTGTCCGTGCATTGTCTTCGTTTCTACGCGTAAACTCCCACGGTTCAATGAACAGCTGGTATCCAGTGGTATTTCTCAAACTTACCACATGTCCAATCTATCCGATTTATGGCAGTTTGACCTATGGCGGTAGCGTTACTGATCTTTCATTGCTCACCGGTTCAGATCTCTACGTGCTTTCGCTCATAAGCGTGAAACGAAACCGATGCCGATGACGCTGACCGTTCTTCATTTTTCTTACGTAGTAGTCAGCTTCCTCGACGTATTTTAAGCTCTTATGGAAGAACTGCAGAGCCGAAAAAGAGATATGGAGCCGAGCCTTTTGCCTTTTGTTCACAAAGTCCTCCATGCAAAGTCCTCCGTGCTCTTGCAGTGTACCTATATCGCTCGTTTCCTCTTGCTCATTTCTGGAGATCACACATAGCCGAATCATTCAGAGATGTTTTCCCCGTGAGAAGAATGGGGCACGAAAAATTTTTATTTTCTCCTTGATAATGACGTCGTTTCAAAATAACGAAATGCTATTTATGAAGTTTTCCGACAAGTAGATATTTGGCGTTCAGAAGTGTAAAGCTATTGTAAACGTGTTCCCTACCGAAACCACGTACTCGTTCATATACTCTCGTACTTCGTACTCGTTCTCGTTCTTTTCTCGTTTTTTTTTTCGTTCGTACTCGTCTTTATTACCATAATTACACTTTTGCGATCTTACGTAGAAGAAAAATTAATCGTCCATTACAATGATGCTGTGATATTCGCAAAACTTGGACCCCGCGCCAGATTGGACCACGGTTTCCCTTTCAGAGGGTGATGGCAGCGTTAGGTAGCAAACCAGAGAGACCAACGCAGAGCAAGGGCCTTTGTGGCGCAGTGTGTAATGCACGAGCCCCCGGAGAGGGAAACCGTGGTACGATCTGGCCCGGAGTCCAAGTTTTGCGAATATCTCAGCACCGTTGTGGTTGTAATTCACATCATGCCCTGTCGTGAAAAATTTAAAAACGATTAAGCTCTCAGAATTGGTCAATCCCTGAGGTATGCGCCATGCATTCGACTTCATTAAGCATCGTTTGGAGGTGATTGAATCTATATCTGGCCTTTACAATGGCTAGCGGTGGCCTACCGATGTATCGGGCCAGTACTGCTATTCTTCCAGACAAGTCTGGTATAAATTTTCCGAACCTGGAGAGATGGAAGGCTTGGTGGGCCATGGACACAGGGATCGATTCCACGTGTGTGTTGCAGGGCGTCTCCGACCACTGCGCCACACGCGCCCCTGTGAGAAATTATAGTAGGCAGAAAATAAAAAGTTAATACTGTAATCGTTCATCGTCTACAAACTGGTGATAAAAATATCGAGAATAATGGTGTGCTCTATCCTTTTTCTCAGAACAGTATTGGACGTGAAAGAATACGTAACAGGACATCGTTGAGATCATGTACGTACCTGGCTAAGTTTTGAATCTAATCAGCATTCTGTGCTTCGAAAAAAGTTTAAACTTATCTTTCTGCTGCACAAGAATTTAACAACCATGGAAAAGAGTTCGTTGTATTCAGCGCTCTCCGCCGTTTTGCTATTGGGCTGAGGGCCTGAACTATTGGGAGACGGATTGCGGGAACTATTTCGGTGCAATCGTCTACTTTTGTTCATTCTATCTCATCATTACTTACATCGTGCTTAACCTACTTGTTGGTGAGTTTCGTATCGGTTCTTCAGCTAAATAGGACTTAATAAATATAACCTTTAAATTAAAGCGGTCTGTCTTATGATAGTGAAATCGGAAGTTACATCTGATTTTTGTATTTCTAAGATGTTCAGCTATCATTATGGAGAACTTCTCGTTGTTCTATTCGAGTGAAGAGGATGCACTACTTTCTTACGCCGACATCCGGAACTTCCAACAAGTCTGGAACTATGTGGACGCCGATCAGAAAGTCCGTTTTTCCACTTTGAAGTTTAGACGCATATTCAGTTTTCAGTATTCAGTGGAATATTCAGATTTTAGAGTACGATAAAATTTTCCAATTAACAACGGTTAGATTAGTTGCATATAGGTTTTCGTTGACGCACAACTATTTAATCAGACTTTTGGCAGATCTTGAATATTTGGATGTGCTTATTTTTGTGGGAGTTTTAGTCGTGACATCTCAGTGTTTCCATTTTTTGTTCATCCTTCTTTTCTTTAGCATTTTTCTTTCGTAAAGAGGCTGTGAGGAAAAGAATATTTTTCAAGCCCACGATCGATTAATCTCCGCATTAATAATCAATACCTACTCGGATTGTTAAGCTAGCGCGAGGTTGACACAAAGGTCTATTCGGCTAGCGTCTCGACGTCTTCATCTTCCCTAGAGCCGGAGGAGAAAGTCGATGGTCCGAAATCGTTAGTCTTCTTGATGTACACACTACTTCGACTCGGATCATCAGCGCTGAGGAAGACGATCGACGCCAAAACGTCTCCTGATCTTTTTATCAACCTCATGTTAGTTTAACAATCCAAGAAGAAAAAGAAGTTTTTTTCCATCAAGCTGAGCATTTAGCGTTCTATCCCAACGCGACGGGTTAAATTTCTGCTCCGACTGCTCCGCGGACGGCTCGAGGTGGATCCGAACAAGGATCGGCTGCTCTTCAAGCATATGTGCTATGAGATGGAGAGGTTGCACAACGGCGAGGATGTTTCGTTTCATGATGTACTCAAGTGGGTATCATGGAAAATATATCCTATATACAGGCTAGCGCCCATTTTTTAGTAACATGATTGAATTTATGACGGAAAAACCTTATAGATTTAATATTACTCTAAGTCTCCTACTATTCCTTGGAGATTAGCTGTGTTTTTCTACCTAGTATTGCTTTGTAGTCTTTCATATCCATCTTTTGGTATTTCGTGCTTAGACGCAACAATGTAAATGGAGTAGAGTTACTGAGCTAGTGGAAACTACGATGCGAACTGATTCAGTTCTTCTCATCATACTTCTCATATTCCTCTTTTGCTGTTCCGTTTTTACTCGGTAACATATAGTAAACGACATTCCTTAATTCGCAACGTAGGTCTACCAGAATAATTGAACCTTTTAGCTTCAAGCAAACTCCTTCCATACATCAGCGCATGGTTAACTTGCTAATTAAAGTGAGAAATGCTGGATTCTGCAACCAGTTGATTATTTGATATCACCGCTAGAGTAAAGAATTGCTGAGAGAAATGCAAAGCAAGGGCTTCGGCTGCTGTAAGAGATAGTATGTGAGTCCTCGGTACGCGAGTTCCAAGCCCAGCTGAAGTTTCGAGTTTTGTTTATATCTAAGTATCTTTGTGCATGTATTTTACATACTACCTTACGACAAAAAACGAAAGGAAGTAAATAAAAGCCAAGGCATTGTATTCTATAGTTTTTAGGAAAGGGCGAGATTCTGTCTACCAATATATCACTGGCCATTGTCCCACTCCACCACTAAAAATTTTGAAAGTTCAAATTTTAAACACATATAAGGTAGAGATATTTACACCCTTACAGCAGAAGAGCAAATTATCTTCTGTAGGTACGTCAATTCTTAAATTCCCCACATTGATCCGTTTAATCAAAAATTGTTTTCGGTTGTCGAGAAGCCAATACGTTCTTGAAAGTTAAGATGAAATTTCAATGTGAGAAAGAGTAAGGCTATTTTCAAAAAAAGCGAGCATGACAGTGTTGTACGAAAGCCATAATAAGTTTCACAATGATACTGAAATATGTTCAAAACTCAGTCTCCAGACTAGATTTGAACTCGTGATTACCTTTTCTAGGAGTTCAAGTGTCGCCCACTTCACCACTGAGACTCTCGTTTTGTCTTGCCCTCGGCTACTATGATTTTGCTTATAAAGATAGAATATTTGTAATAGAATAATTGCAAAAGAATGCGGTTCGGTTGGTTGTGGACGTTTTCCATACTAGCCAATGTAAATGAGTTTTATATCACCTTGCAGTATGCTATCTTATCGAAGCGTGGACATTCGTAAGAGCCTCCAACTAGAAGAATTACTTCAACGAGAGGAATTAGAGTATTTAATCGAAGAAGAAGTGGCTAAGCAGACAATTCGCGCTTGGTTTGAGATGTGTCTGCGGCGAATTAAACAGAAGGAAACTACGGTCGGTGTCTTTCTGGTGGGTACTCTAGTCATAGTGTGGTCAGTGTCGTTGGCCATTTTAGGCACAGCCCTCTGACGGTGCGGTGGCGCCGATGGCGATGCAACTTCATCGGCTTAGCTGCCTGATACCCCACGCTGGTCATGTACCTCATGTACCTCAACTGCTATCACAACACAGTCTCATAACAGCATCGCAACCATCAGTGAGTTTTTCTCGAAGTTTTGATTTCTTTGTTTTTCCTTTTTTAATTCAGTCTTGCTACAAGGAATACAAGACAGTCTGAGCTGCCGATTCTTCAACCTCGTTGATAACTATTTTCCAGGAGAATCTGGAATAGTCATGACTGTGAATACACCTCGTAGGGCTCATGTGATTCACAATTTGGGAATCTTACTACAGTTGGAAAGATTTGCAAATCATTGTATATGCATATCATTGGTCAAGAGGTGTATATTCTAACGACTGAAGTATTTTGAGTAAAAAAACATCATTAATGAGCTGAAACACTAAAGCATCTGTAGATCTACGGTACCAATGGACCGAAAAACCAGTTTTAACCTCCCACAAAGATATCTGTTGGATAAATTTCTGTGAGGCATTTCCCACAGTTCCACCAAGAAGTTTTGCGGGTATGTCGGTATAAATAGTCTGTGAATAGGCTTGAGATTCCTCTATAACTTCATCCTTCTTTTTAGAGATTTCCTAAAACTTCCATCTGATATTAAGAACTGATAGAAAACTATGATTTTAAGCAAAACGTTGAGTCATTCGACTCGCGTGAAAGCATTGAAGAAGAAGGAGGCAGCAAAAAGAAGCAACGTCGTCGCAATTCCATCCCAGAACTCGTTGGCGAGGCGAGGAAATTCATGTTCGGCAACTTAGCCAAAAGGCTGGAGAAAACCGCCGAGTCCAAGAACATCAAAGATCGTCGTGGGACCCTAAAACAACTGCAGGTGATTCTATCAAATCTGTTCAGAAAATCAAAGAACTTTTTGCCTTGGTAATGCTGGAGCTAGAGATTTTTAAAACCGTTTCAATGCTAAATGTTGTGATGTGGTGATAACCCTATACTTGTGAATATAATTTTGAAAACGAGGTTTTTGGGACGTTTAAGAGAAAACTGGAAGACGTAGTTGACTTGCAGAGAGTTGAAAATGAAACCAGAATACGAAATATATATAGGGAAGGAAGGCACTCACTGCGACATTGTAGGCTCAAATGGACCTCGCATTGTAATAAAACCACCCGTTACTGATTGTTGAGTATAGCATCTTATTCTCTGAAAGGTATGCCTTCAGATTCCAACATACGAGTTGCCTGACCTGGAGGAAAACCTCGATGAAGCTTGCGACTCACCACAGGAACGACGTCATTCGGTCGATACTCCGTTAAGCAACAATCCTGGTGCGAAAACTTAAATCCTTAGAAATGTCAATTTTAAAAACGTTTGTAAATTGTAAGAAGGCCATAAAATTCTTTTTGAGGGCTGGCCAAATAAACGCTATTATAAGTAAGATGGCTATAAAACCTTTAAAATCCTCCCAATATTCATGTTCTGTTCCGTTTTTGAAATATCAGAGTGAGATTTCCAGGAATATAGCCACCATCACGATTTCCTACTTAGCCAATCTAGGAATCCCAATTACTGAACGATAAGCTGTTTCATATGAAATTACGTCTCTATGTTTTCAAAAACATTCGTCGTTGTAGGGGCAGTTGAATTCAGTAGTAGCTTTTTGTTCCCTCAACGGTTTGCCTCCTCATCGCGGCTGGGAGGTGCTCCTGGATGTTGGACTGCGATGTACAGCGGGAGGATTTATCCCCTCGGCAAGGTCTCTCTACCTGAGGAGTCTGGCGTTTCAATCAGGAAGACTAGCTAAGGGTAGACCAATACTGGGATCGACCACCGTCCTGGTATCAAAGTCGCATGGTGGCAAATCTCCCTCTGATCCACAAGAGCTGCAACTGCCTTTGGTGGTGACGACCTGGAGCAGACTTTGGCCAGGCTTACCTTGGGACTCCATGGAACCACAATGACTAGACCATCAGAACTCCGAAAAAACGGAAATTATGCTCAGATCCTCACATCCAGTGAAGACGGGCCCTCCGTGCATCCAAGTAGTTTTTTGTTACAACTCAGATCCATTTTTGAGGAAACATAAATCAAATGATGGTTGATGAGTCAAAGCGGATTTTCCAAAGTGATGTTCTCGTTGTCCCCGTTTTGCAAGACTGTACTCAAGAAATTCAGATTCAGACTTCGTGTTGAGTACATCATCGCCGTCCGCTGAATTCCACAACATCGAACCGAGCCCTGACCTTCACCAGTGGTGGACAGACTTATTCGAATTATGACGGTTCTGGAGTGAAACTGACGGTGTCTTCTCATGCACGAATCGGGACTTCCCAAGCACCATACCGCCCACTGAGCGCCGAAGATGAACTACCTTCCTGGAAAAAGCTTTCAAGCAATGAATCTCGTTCATTATGTGTGTGGAGTTGATGTGAATTTTATCTGGTTTTTTAAAATAAATTTTATACCAAAGAGTTTTCGACGTGAAGTGCAGTTGATCAAATGTGTATATCAGTGCCCTCGTTCGACGACTTTCCGAATGGTTGCATATTTTCACGGTCACGAAACTGATGATTTCTGGGCAAAAATCTCGTGCCAGGGGGGTTCTGCAATCCCTCATCAAAGTGAATTTTATACTGCTTATATTGCGCTATGAAAAGTGTTTTCTTTAGGAAGACTGGTGTGGTTACGGTGACATAGTTTTTCTCCTACTTCTGGCCTTTTCATTGTTGATTGTGTGCCTCTCTTCGTACAGTTATGAGCGAACTGATTTCATCTTATGTACTGCTTCGCTTTAAGCTGGATAGATTTTATTGTGAATTAGAGTAGAGCCGAAATTTTCCATTTTTTTCCTGGTCATTCCTCTGAGCTCAGCAAATTGGTAAGGGGTGTCTGGGAGGACAGCAGCACTGACTAGGTACATCGGTGTTTCATTTCCATTGTATCAGTAGAGTGTAGGAGATACTTTAATCTTCGCTATTGTACTTCTCTTCCATCTATCATCAACTCATCTCGCCAAGTAAACGGCCCCAGCTATAATTCGCCTTAAGTACATGCTTTAATCTTAACTCTTTTTATTTACTGCCTTTTTCTTCTTAATGGCAGGGTATGTTGTGAAATATAACTCGTACGAAGTGCTGAGATATTTGCAAAACTCCGGACCACAGGTGTATGCAGTGGGGAACGAACACTCGCTGTTGTCCTTACCGAGGAGCAGCGCACTTCACCACTACACCATCCGGGTCATGCTTTAATACTTAGATGGTCCATCTTCATTGGTGGTGCTGACTCCAGCATGACATCCATTGGTTTCTCTCTTGCGCAGTCGTGGTGGCGAACTCACTCGAACATGCTGACATCGGCGAACCCCATTCCATAGTTCTAAAATCGCTGAGTATTTGTGAAATTCAAATGGGCGCCAGCAAATCTTCCATTCCTTGCTGTCTCGTCGAACAGTAGCCTAGTGGGTTTTGCTCTCTCTAGGGATTCGTTGAGCACCACGTGTTTCTTCTAGTGTTTTCATGGAGAACTCATCACGCTTGGCATGCCGAGGAAACCGGTAGCTGATGGCTCCTGTTCATCGGTTGTTTAAACGAATTACGTGTCCCGCCCACTTCACCCTTGACAATTTGGCACACAGAGCGGCATTATCTTTTCACTCGACGCTCAATAACACTGAGTTATTATCCTTCATCCTGCTTACACAGCGACTAGGTTTCTAACGCATATACTAAAGCAGGAAGAATCGTAGAGTCGTAAAGATGGTCATCGTGTCGGATATTTTTGCTCTCTTCACTATATCCTCTATGCATTTGAAAGCTCCTTAAACAGCTCGCTTCCTCGTCCCCAAATCTGGAGCAAAGTCGTCGATCATGTTGACTTTTTGACCTAAACAGGAGTATTAGGAGATATGCATTCTGTTGAGCGTGTCTCGTACATACGAATCTATCGCGTTCTTCATGAACATCGTTTTTATGAGATTTAGTCACAGACCAATCTTTCCACAGGCGTTATTAAAGTCGTCAAGCATACGTTTCCCCTGGCTAATGTTTGGTGTTATAAGGATGATGTCATCAGCAAAGCGAAGATGGTGTAACTGCCGACCGTCGATCTTAACTTCCATATTATCAGATTCCAATGTTCCCACGACGTTCTGGAGGGCGGCGGTAAATAATTTTGGCGAGATGGTATCGCCTTGCCTAACTAACTTTTGACGTCAATGTTAATATCGTTGTAGAATGGTGATATTTTGGCTGTGAAAATTTTTTACAGCTCACGATGAGTCTCTATTTACTGAGTAGGGATTCCTTGATTATCAAATGCTTCTATGACTGATTGTATCTCAATTGAATCAATGGACTTCTACAAATCGATGGAAGCGAGACAGAGCGGTCTTTTGTACTCTCGCGATACTTCAGTGAGCCTTGTTATCGTGTGGATGTGGTCTACCGTGCTAAATCCTTTTGGAAACCCTGCTTGCTCACATGGCTGTCCTTCGTCTAGTGTTCTGTCAATCTTGTTTAGGATTACTCGAGTGAAAAGTTTGTAGACGACAGACAGTAAGCAGATTGGGCGATTGTTGCCGATATCTTCCAGGTCAACCTTCTTGAACAATAACACGGTCTTGCTGGTCTTCCACTGAGTAGGTACCTTGGATTCAGACAGGTAACGTGTGAAAAGCCGAGCCAGTGTGTTCACGAGGACTGACGGAGGGTTCTTCAGGTGTTGTGGTCTTATTCTGTCCGGACCTGGTGTTGCTCGATTTTTCGCCGACGAAATGGCATGTCGAATTTCGGAAGGGAGAACCGATGGTGCAACATACCCATTCTTATTTATTTCATAAGGAGGGGAGTGGACGTTGCTATCAAAGAGATAGTAGTATTCGTGAATGATTTTCTCCATTGCCTTTCTGGATGCTGTAACTGTTCCGTCCGGGCGCCAGAGAGCAATCATTTTGGTCTTGCAATTGGCGAAGCTTCGGTGGGCTTTGGGAATGCTTTTCTTAGCCTTTGCTGCTTCGGCCATTACTGCTGCTCTTCTCTCTCTAAGATTTTCTTTTATCGCCTCTCTGCATTGTTTCGCAAGTTCAAACGTTAGTTCGCAGTTGCCGGTGGCCCGGGCGATTTCCACCTCACTGGCTTGCCAGCTCGAGTGTTTCTGGAGACAGACGTCTTTTGGTGACTTTCGAACTCTGAGCTTTCATAGCGCTAGTGTTAAGATGTTGAGTGAGTCGATCGTATTATTTGTCGATGGTATCGACAACGGCATCTTCCCAACAGCCCACTAATGAATTAAATAAGTCCCAGTTTACGGTGGTTCTGGGACTTCGGTTTTTGAATTTAACAGCTTTTTCTCCTTTCCACGTGAAATAGAATCTTGCACGAAGGAGGCGATGGTCTGATCCCGTGTAGAATTTTGGGACAACAGCGATATCGGTTAGGCAGAGCCCTCCGTTCACTATGATGTGGTCTATTTCGTTAGGCTACTCTCCATTGGGAGACTCCCACGTCCAGCGCTGAGAGTGGGGCTTCTGGAATTGCGAGTTACCATGGACTGTCTTGGTCGCCATGATAAACTCAAGCAGCCGCTCACGCTGTTTATTCCATTCTATTCCGTGGGTCCCAATGTACGTTCTTCAGACGTTCTTCTTAGTTCAATATTGGCGTTGAAATCTCCAAGGATGACCTTGAAGAATGTGTAGTCTTCTCTGTAGAACTTCTCCATGTCCCTATAGAACGCTTCGACTTCTTCTTCGTCATAGTTTGATGTCGGTGCTTAAACGACGAAGATTATTAAAGCCGGAATTGGTCCACGTCTTTTTAATCGTGAACGTCCGATTCAGGTTGTAAGTTGTTCGAATAAATCGATGTTCATGGACAAACTCGTGTTGACGAGAACGCCGACGCCGTCGACTCCTCTACTGTTGCATGA